CTCTGTGCCAGTCTCCCCAGAGCCCGGGCTGGGCTGGGGTCACCCTGAGCCCCCCTGTACCCTCCTGGCTGAGCTCTGGGCTCCCCCAGCATTTGCATGGGTGCAGCCTGACCTGCTTGGAGCCGTGTCTGCCGCTGCATTTGCATCCCTGGGGCTGAGCTGGTTTTGTTTCGCTGCTGTGATTGTTTTCCATTCTAATGCAGCACCACAAGGAAGTGGTGACCTGGTTCCTGTCTCAGCACCAGGGCTGGCTCTCAAAGGCACCATCCACCTCACACCAGTGCAACTCTCACTATAAAAACCACCTTCCCTGCCCTCCGAATTCCCTCTCATTCCAAAGCACAGCTCCCCGTGCCCCAGAGCAGCTCTTCTCACATCCCCCAAGGCTTCCTTCCTTCCCTCAGCTGCTCTCCAAGGCTCTCAGCATTGCTAATCCCAGCTCTCTGGACACCCAGCTTCCCTAACAATCCAAATTTGGACCCAGGGCTGCCTTCCTGCCGAGTCAGTCAAAGCACAGGGCTGGGGTCAGCTTCGGAGCTTCTGTGGATTGGTTTTGGGGACAGGGTGACAGACCAGGTCAGGCTGCAATGGGGTGGGCAAAAGACATCTCACACAGCGTTAAACTGCTGCAAGTTACTGCCAGCTTCATTTTCAATGCATTTGTATTGGTAGAGGGACTTTGCACTGACTTTGTGCTTTCCAGTGTTGGATTTTTGTAGGAGGAGGAGGAAGAGAATTAAAGCTGCTCGTGCTGTGTTGCCTGGTGGTGTCTGGACTATGGCTCCTAAATCCCAGGAAGCTCAGAAGTGCAGATGCCTGAGATGCTGCCTGAATTCACATTGGAACTGAATCACCCTGAGTCATCTCGCCTCTGTTTTGTGGGGTTTTAATAGAAGAAAAATCACCTGGACACCCCAAACCTGTGTCCCTCTGCAGCCCCAACTGCATGAAATCACCTGGATGTGGATAAGAGCCTTCAAACCAGTGGGAATTCTTTCACCTTGGGGTATCCCCTCTGTGCCTCTGCAGCACTAGTGTACAGGAATTGTCACAAATCATTTTACATGGAAAAAATAAATCTGTTAAAGAACCACTCAGCCCCTGCATGTGTTGGCTAGAGCAACCAAAATCAACTTGAGAGAGCTTTTCCCCCATTTGTGATGCAGCTCAGATTTTGTGCAGCTGAGTTATATGGAGAGCTCCAGGAAAAAAAAAAAAAGACTATTTAGAGGGATTAGGAATTTTCAAGAAACTGGACCATGGAAGTCAGAGAGTAACTGAATGTGTTTACTTTACCTAAATTGCCTGCAGGGAAAATCCTCAGCTTCAACTCACATGACCCATTGTCCTGGTATCAAGGTTAGTTCACTTATTTCATCACCCCTGAGGAGTGAAAGGTAACAAGAAATGAGGGAACTGCTCTGGAAATTCCTTCCCTCCTGCACAGGGACTGCCTGCATCTCTGCTTTATATTGTCCCCAAAAATGCCTTGAGAGGTGTTTGGGCAATTTTCCTCTCATGTCTGTGTGTGTCTGTGGATGTACATGGAGAATGAGTGTTTTTAAAATGATATTTTACACTCTTGATTGATACCCTGACCGTGCATGGGCTGCAGGAGCCCTCAAAGGCAGGGATGGAAAGGACCCTTTGTACCTGGTGCCCATCTCTGTCCTCAGAGGAACCTTCCCCAAACATCAGCATTGTGCCCCAGCCACTGTTTGCATGAAACATCATCAACAACCTTCATTTTTTACAATATTAATTTTGTCTATTGATCCAAGAACCTGTTTGTCTTTTTACTTACAGGAAACAGCCTAACTAAATACATGAATCCTGATTTCACTTTTAGCATTGCGGTGTTTTGGCTGTTTGAGTTTTTTTATGTTTTATTTTGAGCCTGTTCCCTGCAAGGGGAGCTGGATTTGGTTACACACAGTCCAGCAATGGCAGCCTTTGGAGCAACACTGGCTAACAGCTCCTGGTGGACATAAAAAGGGGGGAATTAAAAAAACAGAGCATCTCTCCAGAATGGAAGGATCAGAGCCCTGAGGAGGCACCTCGGGGTCATTGGGCAGAGATGGGATCAGGGACCACAGCCCCCACTCCTCTCCTGCTTCCACCAGAGCTGAATCCAGCTCTGGCCACTGCTGGGATTGCCATCCGTGTTCTATGAATGAGCAGAGCAGGGTGAATGCAGCTGCTGTCACATCTGTGCTCCTGCCCTGCCTCAGGGACAGGGCCAGGCTGGACTCTGGCTGTTCCTGTGCCCTGTGCCCTGCTGTGGCTGCAGGCAGGCTCCTGGGAACCCTCTCTCTGCCAGGTATCCCTCTCCTGCCTCAAACCACCCAGCCTGACAGAACTCCTGGTGCACAAAAGCCAGAGGAACTCCTCTGCAGGAGCCCCAGGCAGCTGCACAGGGCTGCAGAGCCTCTGCCACATGCCAGGGAGCATCTCACCCCGGGCCCAGCAGTGCCTGCTGCCAGAGCCTGTCCCTGCTGCCCAGGAATTGCCCAACACCCTCCGTGCTGCAGGCTCAGGGCACACCGTGGCCAGGGGACTCTGCTGCTCCAGCTCCAGAGGGAAGGAGCAGGAGGAAAACACAGCTGGGATGGTGTTTATGAAGCAAATTAATAGGCTGGGGAAAATGAAGAAAGTGTGGGCACTTCTCACTTCATGCAGAGGTGAGGGCTGGAAGCTGAGGCTGGGAGCTGGGCGGGGATTCATTCCTGCAGTGTAGCCCCTCTCCACTCCCCATCACCTTCACTTTTGGGGGGCCCAGCCCACTCAGAGCCCTGATGGTGCAGACTGCGCCTCCCACACTGGTGTGGAATCACGGAATTGCAGAATCACAGAATC